GGGGGGGGGGGGGGGTTTGCCGGTGAGGTGACTGGTAAGTTTCTCCCGGAGTTGTTGTGTGACCCTCGGGTCTGGTGGGGAGTGGGTGATGGGCTCAGAAATAGGCTTGGGGCCGGGGAATGAGGCAGACCCTAACAATGAGCCCGCGAAAGAAATGCCACTACTCCGAAACCAAAACGAAAATCCCACTTTTATAGTGAGCTCCTTTAGGGATAAGCTGACGGTTTCTGCTGCCCGTGTCTAACGAACATCCACCTGCATCATTCTCAGGGTCGGTGTTTTTGAAAGTTGTTTTGGGGTGGGGTCGGGGGTGGGGTGGTTATGCGGGGATCTCTTGTTTATTCTTTCCTGATTAACCCTAGCCCCGTTTCCCCTTTCTCTTTCTTGTTATCCCCTGTTTTGTTTTCCTCCACTCGCACCCCCCCCCCCCCTCACTCCCCAGCTAACTGAACTGTGTTGCTCGGTGAAGGAGGATGCTTTGACCGTGCTGTCAGCTTTCAACATCCCCAGCGCCACCGTCCACGCTCCGATCGCCGGCATCGCCAGCCCGCGGGCAACTTGGGCATTTTACCCTCAACCTCAAGCCAAAGCGACGCTCTCCGCCCGAGCCAGACTGTAAAGAACCGCGCCGTGCCAAGCCCACATTTTTCTACACAGAGGATCCTTCACCCACTTCCAACATCATTTTCCATTTTTTAAAAAAAAAGACTGTAATATAATCATGTTATTAACAATCAAAATAGCATGAAATCGGTTGATTGCCTCCCCCACCCCTCACCTCCAGAAATCATCCTTATTGGAATTGTATTTTTGTGATATAATGGGAATCAAAAATAAATTTTAAAATAAATACATTTTCATTCCAAGTGCCTGTGTTTTTTTTGTTCTCTAGCCGCCGGCACGGAGCATTCTGTTATCGTGCGGGTTTTAACTTTGCTGGTTCGTGTGGGTGGACATTTGCTACTTTCTCACTTGATTACTATCTCTTTCAGACCGAAATTCTCCCTCTTCACCATCAGTCCCACAACACGGCTGGCGCGGAACCGAGGTAAAACTGAAGGGAAAGTCTTGGTATGCGTGCGTGTGTGTATATGTTTGGAGGGTGAGGGAACTAACCGAAGCGCTGCAAATTGATCTATTAAAAATAATCTCTAATTTGAAAATGAAACTTGCGGGGTTTTTTTATGCATTTATCATTCAGAGGTGTGTATAAACTAAAGACATGCGGGTACACACTTTCCATCCCTGTTCTTGGTGGATGTCGAATTAGACTCGCACTGCTAACTTGCATTTTGCTCGCGTTTTGCCAATATTCTGTAAGTAAAACGCTACTGTTTGATCACTATTGTCCCAAGCGCTTTAAATCCCCAGTTAATGCCAAACGATAGATAAGTTCCACGTTTATTTCACCTGCAAATTCTTCCTTACAATAACCAAAGCACTGCAGTTGTTGAATAATGCTTCCAGCTCGTGTAATGACAGACGCTTAATGTGCTCTACAATTTTAATAAATCGAACCGAATTCGTCTGCCACGCCATGTCTTGACATTGACGTACTAATAACCATCCCGAAAATGTTTATTTTTATATAAGTTCAGATGTGACAAGTCGCGCTTTCATGATTGCTGACTGCACCGCAGTAAACTTGCAATTCATTTAGCAGATTTTTGGTTTTTTTTTCTTTCGCATTGAGGTTTTAATTTGTTGGATTACTGAGATTTCAGTCCTTGCCAGTGTTTTCACATCGGTGTCTCCAGCCGCCGGCGCTCCAGCAGAAGGGGAATAAAGCGCAGGAAAACTGAGCAGGCGGTTACTTCGGCCGACACCGACCCTGGAACCACCAGTGAATCGATTCGTTTGTCCCTTAAAGTTTAGATTGTGCACACCGACATTCAAAAAACGAAGTGCCGCTAATGACAATAATCTTGTTTTAATCATTAAATTTGTTCCCCCTCCCACACACACATACCCCCGGGGGGTCTCCTTCGGGACACTCATATTCCTAGCCCACCCCTCTCAATTTGTGATGGTGGCAATTAACTGTTGAAAGCAGCTTCCCCCTCTCGAACAGTTGGGACTATAGCTATTTAATCAGATAACAAGCATCTAATGTTTCGTTCTCAGTTGGCCGGAGTGATGTTGAGCGGTCATATTAATTTGAAAGCGCTCATTTTCCGCGCGCGATGCCTTTGAAGAATTTCCCCCTTGCAGCCCTTTCCACAAGTGGCCATTTGTGGCCGAGTGTGACTTGTTGCATGTCCCGGTGTTATATTCTCCTCTCCTCCTATTTGGATGTAAACTCATTTACCCTTACGTGTTGACCTCCCTTCCTACACTTAGCACCCCCCTCCCCACCCAAAACAAAAATCAAGCCCTTTCTTCCGATCTCCTCTGACCGTTCTGTACCAGTTTTAAACCGGACTCCATCGTATCCCACTACATCCCCCCCAGCCCCAACCCGTATCTCTCTCTGTAATTTGCGGGTTCTTTTCCCTGCACCACATCGATACTGAAGTATATTCCCTGCTCCACCCTCCTTCCCCAATGACCCCAAGCGAACTCAGCGTTGACAAGCTGTCTAGAAATTCCTTTGCAGCGGATTTTAAAGTTGTACTTCCAGAAGCCTGTTTTAAAACTCCCTCAGTTAGCTACCATGGAACCTCTTAAAATAATCCCTCTACGCCATCACCCTGTATACCGAAACCCGTTGTCTCCTTGTTTTTTTTCTAATGTTGTACGATGTTTAGAACCGATCATCCTTGAAATCAAAACAAACTTTTCTTGTAAAAAAAATATAATTACATATGCATCGATCGTTTCCTGGATTTGCCTGTGTAGGCGGGGCGGGTGTTTATATTTCTCAATTGTTTACCCCAGCCGTCTCTTCCCCCTCCCCCCTTCCCCAAATTCTCCATCTACTTGCCCTGACTTGCCCCCTACAGGGCCAAGCTGGGTTCTATATATATATCCACACGCGTACTGTATGTGTGTGTGTGTTTATGGGTGCCTCACTGGGCGGAGATCTGGAGGAGGGGTGGGGGGGACAGGGAGAGAGAGAGAGAGACAGAGGGAGGAGGAGGAGGAGAGTCGGCTCATTGGAGCATTGCTGAGTACCGGGGCCATCAGTGCCATACTGGCGCGCGCACTCTCCGCACCTACTGGAAACTGATCTCAAGAATCTGCGAGGGTTCCGCCAGCTTCAAAACAAAGGCGAGCGACTAAAGTCGATACCGCGCAACAGCCACCCGCCCAGGTGAGCCACTTGCAGTAGACAGGAGCACGGAACCTTTTTTTGTATTCCCCCTCACCCTATTCCTTTCAGATCGGTGGGGGAGAAACAGCCGCTTTTTTTTATTGTTCGACTTGCGTGTTGTGTACTTGTCAATTTAAAAAAAACACAGGCGGGCTGGACCGAGTGAGCCGGCAACAGTATGTTTTTGGTAAAACTAACTTGACAAGAGTGTCGCCCCGGACCTGGTCTGAACCCCCTCATCCTCTTTAGACGCGGTGTGTGGACTTTTGTCTTCTTTGAGAAGTGAAGTAGGGTGCAGTATTTTGTCTGGCGTGGAGTGCGGCTTTTGGAGGAAGGGGAGGCGGTCTTGTGTCTATTTATTGTCCGGCGGCTGCAAAATTCCGTCCGCGGCAGCAATAACAAAACCACATGTGCGGCGGTTTACGTAGGCGATCGACCGAAAGTTGGAGAGTTTAGGACTGTTGTTGGCGTACAGACAGACAGAGCCATTCTGTCATGTACCATCCTTACAATTCAGGTACAAACGTCGTACAAAGGTACTTCTGGTTCAACGTTGTTTTTGTTGTGCCCCCTTGAGCGACCGAGCGCTTAATTTTTGCACTTCGACGTAGCCTTTCATATTTTGTTTCTTCCAAAAGAAAAAAACTATTTATCTTATTTCTGCAATCGCTTGAAGCATTATCACTTCTCAATGATTGTTTCACGAATCATCCGTGTGCGTTTTAAATTCCGACCACTTAATGAAAAGTCGGGATTTGAGTAGGCATACACACCGGCATCTGAATGATCGGACCAGAAGAATCGAAAGGGGAACTTTAAAAATATGCATCTGCATTTATTTAAGCGTTAGGAAAGACAACATTAGGGATATTTTATTTACGAGTCTTCTGTGAGATGAGGTGTTAGTAAATGAATGCATGTTTGAATAGCTGGTGGGCCATGTCTTTTGGGCGTTGTCGCGGCTTTTTGAGAAGTTGTAGTGAGGCTGCTGCCTGTAGCAGAGTGAAAGTTTCAGTCTCTCTCTCTCTCTGTCTGCCTTTACAGCCCGTGGCCGTGTTACTGCTCCGAGCCGCCCCGCGCTCTGCCCATGTGACACGACGCCGCACTGTAAACAAAACAATGCAACAAGGGCGCTGACGTCACTGCGCATGACATCCAATCGTCGCCGGCCTCCGTGGCGCGACCGCCACTGATTGGTTGGCGCCGAGCTTAGCCGGCCGGGGCAGAATTCCAAAGCCCGTCAATCAAAGCTCTCGCCGTGGTGGGAAGGGCAAAGCTGATGCAGCGTGCACTGTCAAACCGTGCACGTAATACTCTTAAACTGTTGTGTGTGTGTTTGTACCTTAATGCATTGAAACTTGGCGCGTGTTCACTGTCAGACCATGTGTGTGCATTTGACACTCTCGAACCCCTGGCGGGGGTTGTGCACTGTTAAACCCTGTGTGTACACACAATATTTAACACTTTCAGATTGTGTGCGCGTACTTTGTATTTTAAAGGGACTACAATGTACGTTCACAAGAATGATACCCGGACTTCTGAGGTAAATTTGTATAATCAAGCCTGTTTTCTGTAGAATTTAGAAGGTCAAGGGATGATCTGATCAAAGTCTTCAAGGTATTAACAGGAAAAGACAAGGTAGATAAAGATAAACTATTTACACTGGCTGGGAATTCTAGAACTATGGACATAGTCTAAGCATTAGGGCCACACTATCCACGAGACTTGTTACAAAACACTTCTACACAAAAGGGTGGTAGATGTTTAGAACTCTCTTCCACAAATGGCAGTGGATGCTAGATCAGTTGTTAACTTCAACTCAGATAAATTTGTGTTAAGCAAAGCTATTAAGGAGTATGAGCCAAAGACGGATATATGGAGGTAGGCCTAGGTCAAGTTTGAGGAACTGAATGATCTACTCCTCTGATGAAGGGTCTAGGCCCGAAACGTCAGCCTTTCTGCTCCTATGATGCTGCTTGGCCTGCTGTGTTCATCCAGCTCTGCACCTTGTCTCGGATTCTCCAGCATCTGCAGTTCCTACTATCTCTGATCTACTCCTCTGTTCATAATACTCTTAAACTGTGTGTGTACTGCGCATCTAATATTCTTAAATCCATGGCTGGGGGCTGCAGCAGCATGCTGTTTCAAACCGTGTATTTAATAATCTTAAATACTCTTTCAACCTGTGGACTCTGTGGATTTAATACTCATAAACGAAGTCTGTATTCTAGTGTATTTTCAAACTATGTGTACTTTGTATTTAATACACAACCTATATATAACGTAGAGTTTTTTGAAACTGTGCTGCATAAGTCATGCTCTTTTGAACTGTATACTGTACTTTTAAGGTTCTATCAAAGTATTATACGTATACCATATATTTAGGGATCATTGAAACTAATGTATAGATATTTACTGTATATTTAGTTCTGTTTGAAACAATGTACACATATGTGTATAGTATGTTTAGCGTTCTCTTCGGAGGGCGTGTGTAAACTGCTGTCAAGACGAAGGAGAAATGTGACATGTACTTAATTGTGGGAGCTGTCGTCTTCCGTAGTGATCTGACACCCCCTCCTCCCACTCACACCTGACAGAAACCCATGATTCCATGCAGCAGTGTATTAGGAATGGGGCGATCGACACAGTGTCGTGGCGAAAAGTTCAGATTTTTTATCCTTCACAGTAAACAAAAACAGGTATATTTAGCAACGGCGACCCTTTTTTATTTGCAAACAGCGGCTTGAATCGGAAGTATTAAGATTTTTCACCGATGGGGGAGAAAGGCTGAGGTGAGGCGTTCTCTTGTCAGGGAGGGCAAGGTGCGGGGCTTTGGGAGCAGAGACAGCGCGGTGCTGCCCGGTGAGTGTGAGGACTCGGTGCTGGGGATTGGGAGCAGAGACAGCGCGGTGCTG